CTTCCGAACAATTATAGTTGGCAGTTTGCCATAATGATAATTTTAAAGAAATGAGTTGTCTCATGGCATTCTCCCTCTGTTAGTAATGTGTCTGAACAGGGCGCGTCATTTTATGATGCACACAAACCACGGCGAAATGCGTCGGTGAAGGTTGGAGGGTTATACTGCAGCTGCAATGTTTTATAGTCCGTAAAATAACCATTTGGTTGGTGATGTTATTACCCAGGTGTAAATGTCTGTCTGTCCTCCTGTCTGCATGGGAACTGGAAATGTAATCCACAAAATACGTTTTGGCCCTGAGGAAAAGCTCAGTTATATTTTAAACATAAGCAAGGAAATGATACATTACATAATTGGCATAAGGTGGGAAAAGCTGAGAATATTTTGAAGGCATTAAATTGTTTTGTTAAATTTGAAGATCATATTAAGAAATATCGTAATAACAAACACTTACTACAGTCGTTCACAAGAATTACAGTTTCATCCATAATGATAAACTCCCTCAACAGTTAACCTTGCCTTCTTACTATAGACGGAATTTCAAGTACGAGACTGCAAGGAGCCGATGCTGCCAATAAGGGTAAGGTAAAGTTACCCCTGTGCTTGGGGCCGAGCCATAGCTCAAGCGGTTAGTCGCTGGCTTCCCACCGCGGCGGCCCGGGTTCGATTCCGGGGTCTGTTCAAGTTGGATTTGTGGTGGACAAAGTGACGCTGGGGCGGGTTTCCTCCGAGTACTTCATTTCTCCTGCCAATCTTCATTCCACCAAATTATCCATCATCATAATCACCCGGGGCAGGCTACAATAGATCAATCAGTGGCCGCCGTGCCGAGTGGACCCAGTTCGACTCCACCCCCCACTAAGCGAATAAAAATGTTATCACTGTGCCTAACCAATTAAACAACACGTATGCGAGAGTGGACGTAGTGATCCTTGTATTCTTGTTCCCGACACTAGTCAGCTTCACGACCCGGCCACTTTAACCCCCATTACCTTTTGGGTAGGAGGTTGGGTGGACCCCAGAGCCGGTCTGGATAATATTGAAAACAAAAAATTCTTGCTCCTACCGGCACTCGAACTCCGGACCCCTCGGCCGTTCAGCCGGTATCCAGTAGCCACAGCAACTATGTTATGCCGCCAACAATTAAGAAATGCTGTCACCTGAGCAATGAATTGAAAGTAGATATCTCGTGGTCGTTTTCTTACATATGCCCTACAATAACGAAGTCCTGTTTTAGAAACAATTGGTATTGAGCAATCTTGTTTTGACCTTCGTCATCTGCTTTACAAGCAAAGAGCTTTCAGCTGCATTGTTTAGCCCTTCAACAACTGATTTACATTTCTGATCCCAGATTGTTACCTTACGGCCATGATATTAATCATAAGTTGGATCAAGTATTCATTTTACAGGGTTCAGAAGCCTGTACCCCATTATAAATCAGCGTTTACGTAATACAGCAAGGTGAAATTAGGTATAGTAGCTACGAGACTGAAAATAACAATGGGAATATCACATCAATAAAATATTCCATACTTTGGAACCACTGTATTGTACACGCAATATACTGTTACACGTAGAATACTATCATTAAATTTTACTTTTATGAAGACTGCAGCTTGGTACCAGGAACCAGGAATTATTACAGCATAATCCACTGTATTTCAAGGTACTATAACCAAGGAGAATGCATTTCTTACCCTTTGTTTGTCGTGGATTTTAGGATATTCTATATCTGACAAGTCTCACAAATTGTGGACGAAAGATTGATAGACAGGAGCCATTACTAGTATGACAAGCTGTAGTTCTGACAGAAGCTAAGGTTCAAAGGGGCCAGTGAAGGAGAAAGAATAATATAGGCCCTAATACAGGCTTTTCCTCTACGCCGTTGGCAAAACTCCTCCAAAAGAAGCCAGTGGTAATGAGGTCTCAGAAGGCGTGGCGTGGAGTCAGAAAGGAGCAGAGCCCCTTCCGGACGTCAACTTCATGTCAACAAAATAATGATGAAATCAGATTCAAATGACCCTCACAATTGTGCCATGGAAGTTTCTCCACTGGAAATAAAAGTAAGCATTTTCCGAATACCATAATGTGAACAGAATAGTTTGTTTCAGCACACAGTTAATCTGAAATCGATCACAGCAAACAAAACCTTATAGATTTTCCTTGTACTTGTAAATATGACAGAGAGAGCAGTAGAAAAGTAACAGAACAAAAGAAACATCAAGTTCTGAAATTCTTTCGTAATTCTTAGCTGCGGGGGGGGGGGTTAGAATTAATTAGGTAAATTCTTGCTAATCAACATTAATTAACCCTCTATGTAAGTATAAATTTGGCCGCACCATAGCTCAAGCCTACTGTGAAATTTCAAGAGAGACCAACAAATATATAGTTGTTCAGGTCTGATCAGTAGTTGGCCTAATTTTATCTTAAATGCATTCTACCATCCATGATCAACATCATCAAAGTTTTACCTAATTATGCGGTGTAGTAACGTGGATAATTATAACATATATGAAGAATGTCGTCTTCTGGGATGTGATGCCGTGTAGATCTTGTGTAAAACGACGTTTCGGAGGAACATATAGCCTCTATCTTCAGGGTAGAAAAATCTACTGGTGGCTCGCTCGCAGATTTTTCTACCCTCAAGATGGAGGCGATACAATCCTCCGAAACGTCGGTTCACTCAAGATTTTTATGGCGGCACATCCCAGGAGACGGCATTCTTCATAGTCACAGCTGTGAAAATCTCAAATCTTATATAACCACATATTTTTCTGACATCTGTTGTGAATTCCTCCCCCCCTCACACACACTGGTTTACAGCCCCCTTGGGTCCTGGCCTCTGATTTTCAGTTTCATGATCATTTTAAAGATGGTAGGACTCCTTGGATGAGTGATCAGCTCGTCGCAAGGCCTCTAGCTAAACCAGGACAACATAAACAGAATAAACACATCCATGCATTTTGTGGGATTCGAACCCAAGATTACAGAGTCCGAGCAAACGAATACAGTACATACCTTAGACCGATCGGCTACCATGACCCGCATGTTATGAATTTAGTAACTATGAACACATTACACAACAATATGAAGTAGTGTGTTAAGGTCAGACTGCATTCAACTGGCTAAAGATGAGATCAAGTGGCGGGCTTTTGTGAATGCTTGTTGAAGCTTCGACTTCAGTATAAGTAGCCTAACATGAGAAGCTCCTACAGCAAGGAGCTGAATATTTTCGGCATTGAAGAAAGCAGTCTTCTGGGATTTGGCACCGTGCATATGTGGTGTTAACCGACGTTTCGGAGGAACGTATCGCCTCCATCTTCAGGGTAGAAGGAAAAATATAAGAAATCCGCAGCGGATTTCTTATATTTTTCCTTCTACCCTGAAGATGGAGGCGATACGTTCCTCCGAAACGTCGGTTAACACCACATATGCACGGTGCCAAATCCCAGAAGACTGCTTTCTTCATAGTCACAGCCGTGAAAGCCTCAAATCTTACATTTTCGGCATTGTTTGATGACACTTGTAAACGTGCACAGAAAGTAACATTTCGTATATGCTGTGTCCACATCATACCGGAAATGACGAACCGGAAGTGTGTGTCAGAGAGAAGTGACTCCCATGCCAGTGAGGTGAATAAGACAGCTGTATAAAAGCAAAAAGTCTGATTTCCATATGAAACAGTAGTGGAACAGGGAGGAAGCTCTTGTCTATATGCTGCAACTTACTGCAGATTCAGAAGCACCCGTAACCACCCTCTCGTCTGCTTCTTCTGCTTTTTACTTTCTTGGAACACAGAAAGATTTCTTGTTTGGCTCTGCGACTTCTACACAAAAAGGAAGTTAAGTAAAAGAGTAAGGGGAGTCCAATATTCATAGAAGAATAAAACGAAAACTTAATTTGCATATTCAATTATGTCTCTGTGCGTTGGGAATGGAGTTTTACTTTTGTTTCCTTTAAAGCATTTTCTTGTATGGAGTGGTTCTCGCAGGTGGGCACGTGGGTGATGTATGCAACAGCGAACATGTACTGGTGAGGGCGAAATGTTTTATGCATTTTAGAAGAGTGAGAGAACCCAGAATCTCCGATTTCAGACCTGTGCGGATTTATTAAGTAAGGTCCGCCTGTCGCTAATGAATACTGCGTTTTGCTAGATGTCATCTTCAGCATCCTGTGTTGATGCAGCAGCAATGGCTGTTACATGCTCCTCACTGTTGACAAATGTGCTAACAAAGAAACTCCATTATTATTATTATTATTATTATTATTATTGTTGTTGTTGTTGTTGTTGTTGTTGTTGTTGTTGTTGTTGTTGTTCCTCTGGCGCTACAGTCCCAT